TATGATGATTTCTGCTTTCTGTATCCATATTGATTGATAATTTAGCTAAGATATATAAAGAAGAACATGTTATTTCCCTTGACTTCATATCGTATCCTTAGGCTGTTATTATATGTCAATTAAGATGCTACTATTATAAGCTGGGTTTAAAGATTTTTTTTTTAACATTCAGTAAGTTAGTCTTAATGTTGAGTTTAGAAAATTAAAAAAAATGAAAGAAATTAATTAAATCATATAATTAATTAAATTTTGAAGGAGGAAGCCGAAGAGTAAATCGAGAATAAATGATATTGAAATCGAGCGAGCGAACCTAGTAAGATCAGATAATATTAAGAATCAAGTTTTTAGTTTGAGCTTAGTACTTAGTACATTTTGCTCAAATATTTATGTAGCTTAAGGAGAATCGAGCCTCCGACAGCTACCAGTCAGTCAGCACTTGCCTAGCAGTAGCAGCTTATCAGGTGGGGGTCACGTACTGGTTATACTTCATCTTTAATTTCCGTACCATGTCCGAGGTATGTATGAGAAATAGATAGTTCATCATGAGGGAGGCCGTGGCGGGCCTTAATGTTCCCCCGTGATTCCGAGGGAGGCCTTAATTGGCCTTAATGATCCCCCGGAGTGTGACTATGATTGGCTTTTAAGCCCCAGGGTCTTTATGACCACCAGTTGCCCCAGTTACAGTTTCAGTTCAGTTCAGTTCAGTTCTTATATACTTAAAGTCATGATATTGTTATTAACGATGTTGCATAATTAAGTACTGGTCTTTGCGGAGCATAGCGGTTTTGCTCACGCCCCCACTACGTTTTTCAGGTGACGGAGCGGCGCGTGGCGCGTGAGATTTCAGTGGCAGTCGTGGTCATTAGCTGTCTTTTTGTAACGCATATGCATGTCATTTATTGAACATGTACTATTATACTATGCGTAGACTTATTATGTTTCAACTTCCGCTCATTCCAGACTTAGTATGTTGTAATACCCCATTTGATTATGGATTATTTGAGAATAATTATTGATTAATTATTGTTATTATTATTATTATTATTATTATTATTATTATTATTATTATTATTATTATTATT